CAAACCAGTAGAAGAGGAACATGAAGCTCACTAGAGTGAAACGCGCTGCCTTTTGCAATTTGTGCAATTTAGTGCTGAAAGCCCTAAAAAGAAAAGGAGACGACGTATTTGGACAAAGACATGGCTGATCAAACATGGCTACTACGGTCTGTCTGTTTTACAGAAAGAACTCCATTTCACTCATTGCACCCCCACTATGCTGCTGGGTTTACATCTGAGGGGAAGAAGAAGGATCCTTGTTTGCGTACTGAGCGATTTGCCCACGACCACCTTAGGACGGCCGACTGAATTTTAAACATGTTAGATTTTCTCCCAACCTTATGATTCCTGATGGGGAGGTGGTTGTTAGTAGCCTCGTGAGACCATCCTGTTCTCGCGAGCTTTCAAGATTTCATTCACAGATCAGCCTGGAGACTCTCCGTTGAAGAAAATTTGGAGCCGTTCACCAAACGAACGTCCAATCAGCGTTGGCTTTGAGGCGGGTTGAGGTGTGACGCAACGAGAAGCGCGACAGTTCAGTCTAAAGAACATGGCGGCTTCAGCCGATGAAACTAGCGTTAGCGTGGCTATCGAGCAAGTTTTATCAGAATTACAGAGTATTTCTTCACTGAAAGAAGAGCAAAACACTGCTCTGGAGGCTTTTCTCAGAGGAAAAGATGTTTATGCTCTTCTCCCGACGGGTTTCAGCAAGAGTTTGATCTATCAATTGGCTCCTCTTCGTTGTCGCTCTGTTAGTACGTCATATGCTTCGTTGATCTGATTGGTTTATTTGGCCCGTCTATCACCAACATAGGCCAATCAGCTAACCAGTATTTTTGCCACTTCCCAAAATTACTTCAACGGAAGGTTTCCAGATGGATATGCGGAGCAAATCCATCTGGCGGAGTCAGGTTAGGTCGTTAGAGTCTTAACGTCCCTCATTACCCCCTGTACACTACACCACGCACCATCAGGCTGAAAGTCGGCCTGATCGAGAAATTCTCGCACGACTGGAACTTGGGGTTTAGCATTAGGCGATACTAGGCAGCTGCTTAGGGCCCCAAGTTCCTGGAGGCCCCATAAAACTCTGTTTACATGTATGGTTTATACAACTATTCCTTATTTATGCACATTAATTATGTGTTGATAAAAATCCTATGGCTAAAATGCCATCAGAACTCTGATAATATTAAGTGTGTCTCAGCCCCCCCCTCACTGTCAACTTTTTTCTTTGAATTAAAAATCCAAAGAATAAACACCGTTTCAAACCAAACAGCGGTCTAATCTGCCCTCGAATAGGAACGTCTGCAGATGCGTTATTTCAGAAGGCCGGCCTCACCTTCCCCTCGTAGATGATGAGCAAAGAGGACGAGTAGAAGCGGTACGACGCCTGTCTCTCCAGAACCACCTTCAGGCTGCGAAGCTTATTCAGGATGGGCTCAAAGAGGTCCCGCCTCAGGCCCCGCCCGTTGTGCAGGTACTGGTAGAGGGCCTGGCGGAAGCCTTCGCTGGACAGGCCGCGTCCGTAGTACTTGTTCCTGCAGAGGTAGTGGCCGGTGTTCAGCTGGTAAACCTGCACAGACGGGGAGGGAAAAAGATGACACAAACATCTGAAGGTGTTTGGAGATGAAGCTTGTTGCTCTGCGTAGTTTTAAACATCGGAGTAACAGAACCTTCACCGACTGAGTTACAGGAAATTAACTCTCCAGAACAGATTTCCTCAAATTTAAGGAGTGTGTGAGGAAAAATTTAGCTCCTGCTATCTGCAGCTACGTTTAAAGGAAAAGTCCGGTAACTTCTGTACGACCGCATAAAGTTAGAAAATTACGAGAACAGGGTTTATAAAGGAATGAATGGCTCTAATTTAACGCTCTTAGAAATGACTTTAATGCCATCAACAAGTACCCATGACTCTCTCTCTCTCTCTCTAAAAACAAGTTAGAAAACTCCTTGGTCATCTTTATGTCACAAAATTCCTCGTTTTCCAGCAACTTTTGTTGAAATTTGCATTTTCCCATTCTCTAGCTTTTTCCTCAACTTTGGGCTTCTTTCCCAGACATACGGCTTTACGATGAACCAGAAGCAGTTAAAATATACCACGATCTATATAGCATGAATCAAGATGCTATGACCAAAAATATTTGATTGACAGATGACCGTTGATATATGATTGGATGAATTTAGGTGTTCAGGCTGACATAGAACTGGCCTGCAGGAGATAATGAAAAAACACAGATTTTAGGAAGGGATTTTTTATTTATTTAAATTTTCTAAATGTTGGGACAATATCGTCTGATAAAGAGAACATTTATATACATGTTTAAGGCAGAATGAGTTGACATTTAAATACGATTTCCCTACAACTTCACAAAAAGCACTTTTAATGCCACGATAATCATATTTAATGCATTTTTAATGGCAATTAATTCAAAAAATAATATTTTAATGACTTTTAATGATTTTTAATGACCAGCGGAAACCCTGGATTATGTGGATTAGGTTTCCAGGCATATAAAGCATGAATCAAATCATGAAGATTTTGAGAACAAAGGTTCAGCTGCACATCTGCATATGTATTTGTGTCTGTTGAATGAAAACAGCATAATAAGTCATGGTTTAATAATCAGATAAAAAAAAAAAAATAGGAAACAAATTTTGCTTCAACAGTTTACCAGCATGTGTAATTGTTTTTGTATAACATTTAGCTTTACGATAATGCAATATATGAATCTACAACCATGATACTGAATAGTTTTATCTGTTCCTTATTTTCCAGCTCATTCAAAGAGAAATCTGCTGATTTTAAGACTTATTTTCAGGTCAGTTTTGGTGCTGATGTGTTCAGGTGCATCGCGGAGCCCAGCCCTCTACCTGCATGCCACACACTCTGACTCCCAGGGTGGCTGACGTGCTCTGCTCGCACTTCTTCATCTGCCTGGCCGCCTTCTCCTCGGAGGCGTCGTCGCCGTGCTGCCGGGTGCCCATCTTCAGGTCCAGGATGCAGGGGTAGGAGAAGTGGTGCACCACGTTCTCCAGCAGCAGGAACTCTGGTTGGGGGGCAGCAGTTAGGGAATGAACCGCTTTGAGCGCACAGGAAACAGGAAACATGCCTTTCAAAGTAAAAGCCCTGCAGAAATGAGCAGACATTTCAATGATCTAGAAACCGCTGGAACTTCTGCTGTTTTGGTTCATTAGCCTCCGGCTGCAGCAGGTCTGCCGGTTCTCCAGAACCTGTGGTCCGTCAGAGGGCATCACGATAATCACACGCTGATTCCACCCTTACAAAGAAGCACTACATGCATGTATACAGATTTTAAAACTTCAAATGGGCGACTTTACTGGATTGAGGACAATCAGCCTGCTGGTGGGATTTCTATAAAGAATAACATCAAACTTATCAGAAATATAATCAACTTTACAAAGTTCAACGATGCAAATATACTAGAAGTTACCTGCATTTAGCTTAATGAAAGACAAGTCAGCAGAACTGAAGTCCAATCAGAGCCTCTGTGATTTTAAAAGTGCATTTTGTTAAATTTTTACTATATTTCAAATGCAAATAATAATAATAATAATAATAATAATAATAATAATAATAATAGGAACTAAGAACTTTACTGATTGGAGAAATTCACTCCCTGCATTTAACCGCCTCCACTTGCGGAGCAGTGGGCTGCCATTGTGCAGCGCCCAAAGAGCAATCAGGGGTTAAGGGTCTTGCTCAGGGACGCAGAGTAGAGGCTGTGGGAGTTGAACTCAGAACCTCCAGGATCCAAGCATAATGCTCTAACCAGTAGGCTGCCACTCCACAAAATGAACCAAAACTTCAGTATCTGGAAGAGGCGAAGACTTCCTTGTGATCTCATTGGCTGATTGCTGCAGTGGGTGTGGCCTTAAGCCACTGGTGTCTTGTAACAAATAATGGCCCCCTCCTGCCACCGAGAACTGCCAGAGAACACTGGGACCCTTTTCCCACCTGGATCCCCGCTCTTTTTGGCCCTCATGTCCCTCCGTTGTCACACAAACTTGCCCCCACTTCCTCACCGCCTCGGCCGTATCTAGACCCACAGCTAGTTCCTGATTGGCCCTCTGGCCTTGTGGCGTGGAATGACATAGTGCAGACCACGCTTCAATATTGAGCATAAATGAAAAATATCTGCGACAAGCTCACTGCGACACACTGCTGCTACGAGGCCGACACCATCGGCTTCACAGCTGATTTATTGAAAGTTTTAATCGGTGTGCGGGGAGACGCTGACATGCAGAGTTTACAACATTCTTCATTTTGCAGAAGATGACTTTTTAGGTAGAGGAATAAATTTGTACTGCTACCGTTTGCAGCAACGGTTTTCGCGGCACGTCTTACAAATTAGCGCCTTTTTCTCGATGTCCTCGGCATGAAATCCAAATCGCTGCCATACATCGCTCATTTGGAACACCTGCTGTCGCGATATTTCGTTTGCCGCTGTAGCTACCAGATCTGCTCTAGTCTTACTAAATGCCAGTGACGTTACACTAAATGATTGGCTGAACGTTGCTGCATGATGTAAAACATTGTGGTTGCCGGGACAACGATAACATCACGCAGCGCCCGTGTGCCGAGTCAGGAGTATCTGTAGTGTTAGCATGTCTAATGAGCAATAAAAGTTTTACCTGATCGATAAAAAACTTTAAAAAAAAAAAGTGCTTCTGGTCGACAAAATAATTGTGAGACCATGATATAAAGGAGGAGAGCTGGGTAGTGCTTTGGCTAGCTGTAGCTAACAGGTTAGCCTCTTTTAGCTCGGTCAGTTAGCCATAATAAGCTACACTACTTTTAACTTTGTGTCAACAACAACCGTTCGATTTCTCTAAGTTGTCTAAAATCTCTATGAAAGTCCTGTTTTAAGATGTTCCATTTGTCCTCCGCTAGCCTCAGATCTTAATAAAAAGAATAAAATAAGCTGAGACTTTTTTGTCACCGGCTTAATGTCATCATGCTAATATGTACTCACTGGTTGAGATAAGAGTGACTTTAACTATTGTGCTTAGAGAAACACATTTATTCGATATGTTGCCCAGCTTTAGTTGAAACGCGGAGATCCGTCCGGTTCTGCCGGACCAAGAGGAAGGATACTGAAGAGTTTGCGGTCCTTGGATTCGGACCTCATGCGGCTGAGCTGCTGCTTGTGGCACACCAGGCTCCAGGGGTTGTAGCTGATCTTCTCCGAGGCCAGACCGCTGTTCCAGTCCAGCATCTGGAACGGAACGTCTGAGTGAACCTTTGGGTCCAGTCTGGGGCTCTTCAGGTCCGACACGCTGCAGGAGAGCAGAGAGTTCATGTTAGAGGCCATCAACTCAGATTTCTACTCCTCCATGCTGCCACTGTCTGCCCCCAGGCATATGTATATATATATATATATATATGTATATATATATATATATATATATATATATATATACCAAATAATAAAAAACAAATAAGAACATGGCAAAGTTATTCTCAAAGACATTTTTCCATTAAATTGTTTTCAAAGTCTCATTTCTGGAATGCTTTTCAAATTTCCATTTAAAAATTGTGTTCTGTGTTTGCAACAATATTGGAACAAAGTTCACTCCGTACCTAAAGGTTGACCTTGACAATAATCTGTTAACATTTCAATGCCTCAGTTCATCAAACGAAGGCAGGAGATTCTTCAGAAATGTTTGGTAACCTGCTGCAGGACAGCAGCTCTACGGCCCCATCCTCCCGGTTCTTACGTGTCGGAGGAGTCGGCGTCGTGCGCCTCCCTCCTGTCGGCCCGCTCCTCCTTGTGCTCTGTGGAGGAGGAGGATCGATGCAGGCTGCGCCGCGAGTGCTTCCGCCTGGGCTGCTCCCTCTCCTGGGGGTCCCGCTCCTCGTGCTCCCCCGTCATCCCCTCCATGTTGTCCACGTGGGGGTACGCCACCAGGTTGATGTAGCCGTCAGAGTCGCCTTCGAAGCAGACCAGGACCACACCTGAAGGACAGAATCAGACCGAGACTCTGAATCTGCTTCTTCATCAGCAGCAGTGCATAGACCATGAAAAACAGCAACAGTCACTGGATGTCTGCATTCAGTAAGTAATTAGATTTCACAAAAATAATCTATCAAGAAATGAATAAAACAACTTGTCACACTTGCCTCCAGTCTGTTGCAACGTTATTTTTGGGAACCCCTGATCTAAGCCTCCATCTTTAACCAGCAGAGGAGAACATATTGATTCCCAGTAATCAGAGCACCGCCTGTGTTATACGCTCAGCATTTCTTTAAACGCGATAAATGTGATAAATAATTCATTAAATGTGTAATTCATTAAATAAATAAGGAATTAAATATATAAATGTGTCATTAATTTAATAAAATACGTCTTTATTTTATTAAAAAATATATATAATTATTTCAGTGTGCATTTAATTATTTCATGGTCCTGTGTCGCAGTGCATCCAAACCATTAAAAGAATCTGTCAACCTCACCCATCAAAGTTACGTGGCGGCTATCTAACACCTGATTGGTCACCCTGCACATTAAGGCGAAGCAAATCGATTACGTTGCGTTACCCCCGCCCCCTAACTTTGAT